TTGTTTCCGTGTTCGTTCCCCTTGTTGTCTCAAACTTGTTTCCGTACTTCTCTATCTATTGCTATTCTTTTCTCTGGGTACGTTTGGGACGCAAAGTTCTCCTTGTTTTCCACCTGTTTCTGTGCTTGTCTCCCTTGTTGATCCATTGCTCAGTGTTCTTTGTTTTGGTTGCTTTGGGGAAAGGACTCTCCTTGTGTCCCATCTGTTTCTGCGCCCGTCTCTCTGCTTGTTCTCAACTTGTTTTGACACTTCTTTCCTCGTTGCTGTTGTTCTCTCTGGGTGCTTCCGGCGCACAGGATGCTCATCGGATGCTCCTTGTCCATTGTCTGTTTCCGTACTTGTCGTCCTTGTTGTCTCCATTTCGTGCCCTTCTTTCTTTCTTTCTTTCTTTTCTTTCTTTCTTTCTTTCTTTTTTTCTTTCTCTCTCTCTCTCTCTCTCTCTCTTGCTCTTCTTCTTTCTAGGTGCTTGTTGGGACCCCTGATTCTTCTCGTCTGCCATCTGTTTCCGTACGTGTCTTCCTTGTTCTCTCCAAGTTGTATACTTGTCTCCCTTGTTCTCTCCAAGTTGTATCCTTCATTCGCTCCCCATTGCTATTCTTCTCTCAGGCTGCTTTGGGCAGAATGCTTCTCCCTACTTGTCTTCCTTCGTATAAGTCTCCTTGCTTGTCTCTGTGTGCTTTGGGACGAAACCTATTATCCGTTACATTCCCTTACCCTCTCTCTACTACATGTTTCCCTCCAAGCGGTCTCCTTATCCTCTCTCCACTACCGTGCTTCTTTCTAGGTCTCCAGCATTTTGGGACGGAGAAGAGAGCTTTTCTCCTCTTCCCTTTCTTTCATTACTTGTTCCTCTTGTCTTTCCCAGTGCCTTCTTCCCTTCTCTCCTCATTACTGTTGTTCTTTTTGGGTGCTTTTGAGACACAGGACTTTCATTGTCTGCAGTTTGTTTCCTTATTTTGCTACATAGTTTAATATTGGTGGCTTTTTTGGGTGGATATATAGTTTAGTATTGATGATTTTTGGGGTCAACAAAGTATATAATAAGATTCTCAGAAAGGGAACCACACACACATGGTTTAGCATGTTTTTTAAAACATAGTTTAGTATGCTTTGAATACATCTTTTAGTATTGACATTTTTTGCATATATAGATTACTATTGGGAGCTCAGCTTCTCGTTTTGGAGTATGCATTTTTTGCTTTAATTTGTTGAATTTTCGAAGTCAAAAAAAAAATGAAATTCCCAGAAAGAGAGCCAGACTTAGTTTAGCAGTAGTTTTTTTAAAATGAATACATAGTTTAGTATTGTTTAAATGCATGGTTACATAGTTTAGTATTGAGTTGTTTTTTGCATATATAGATTACTATTGGGAGCTAAGCTTCTCACTTTTGGGGTATTCATTTTTTTTCATTTTTTTGATTTTTTTGAATTTGAAAAGATGAAGACATGGAATTAAAAAAAATATTATAGAAACTAAGGAAAAAAGAAATATATATTTAAGAATTGATGGTGTTATGACACAATATTAATAATGTAAGGATCAGAAAAATAACATAAAAGATAAAAAGTGAAAAAATGATGGATTAAAAAGAAACGCCTATATTAAAAAAAAATGAATTCAGAAAAATCAAAAAAACAATAACAAAATGAAATTCCCAGAAAGAGAGCCAGACTTAGTTTAGCAGTAGTTTTTTTTTCAAATACACAGTTTAGTATTCGGATTTGTTTTTGAATACATAGTTTAGTATTGAGTTTTTTCCATATACTGTATAGATTACTATTGGGAGCCCAGCTTCTCACTTTTGGGGTATTCATGTTTTCAATGTTTTATAATTTTTGAATTCAGAAAATTCAAAAAAATCAAAAAAATATGCATTCACATTTTTTTGATTTTTTTGAATTTCGAAAAAACAAACAAAATATTCAAAAAAATTAGCCAAAAACGAAAATATTTTGAATATTGTGTTCTTTTTTGAATTTCAAAAAAATAAAAATATTCAAAATATAATGAACTTCTCCCAAAAGTCTCGCTGAACCTCTTTTTTGGTGATTTCATTATTTTTTGAATATTTTGAATATTTTGAATTTTTTGAATTTCAACAATTTCAGAATATTCAAAAAATTTAGCCAATACAAAAATATTTTGAATATTTTGAATTTGTTTAATTTCAAAAATTTCAAAATATTCAAAAAAAATTAGCCAATACAAAAATATTTTGAATATTTTGAATTTTTTGAATTTCAAAATATTCAAAATATTCAAGAAATTTAGCCAATACAAAAATATTTTGCATATTTTGATTTTTTTGAATTTCAAAAAATTCAAAATATTCAAAAAATTTAGCCAATACAAAATATTCAAAAAATTTAGCCAATACAAAAATATTTTGAATATTTTGAATTTCAAAATATTCAAAATATTCAAAAAAATTAGCCAATACAAAAATATTTTGAATATTTTGAACTTCAAAAATTTCAAAATATTCAAAATATTCAAAATATAATGAACTTCTCCCAAGAGTCTCTCTGAACCTCTTTTTTGGTGATTTCATTATTTTTTAAATATTTTGAATATTTTGAATTTTTTGAATTTCAAAATATTCAAAATATTCAAAAAATTTAGCCAATACAAAAATATTTTGAATATTTTGAATTTTTTGAATTTCAAAATATTCAAAATATTCAAAAAATTTAGCCAATACAAAAATATTTTGAATATTTTGAATTTTTTGAAATTCAAAATATTCAAAATATTCAAAAAATTTAGCCAATACAAACATATTTTGAATATTTTGAACTTTTTGAATTTCAAAATATTCAAAATATTCAAAAAATTTAGCCAATACAAAAATATTTTGAATGTTTTGATTTTTTTGAATTTCAAAATATTCAAAATATTCAAAATACTTCTCCCAAAAGTCTCTCTGAACCTCTTTCTTGGTGATTTCATTATTTTTTAAATATTTTGAATATTTTGATTTTTTTGAATTTCAAAAAATTCAAAATATTCAAAAAATTTAGCCAATACAAAAATATTTAATTCAAAATATTCAAAATATTCAAAAAATTTAGCCAATACAAAAATATTTTGAATATTTTGATTTTTTTGAATTTCAAAATATTCAAAATATTCAAAAAATTTAGCCAATACAAAAATATTCAAAAAAATTAGCCAATGCAAGAATATTTTGAATTTTTTGAATTTCAAAATATTCAAAATATTCAAAAATTTTAGCCAATACAAAAATATTTTGAATATTTTGAATTTTTTGATATTCAAAATATTCAAAATATTCAAAATATAATGAACTTCTCCCAAAAGTCTCTCTGAACCTCTTTATTGGTGATTTCATTATTTTTTAAATATTTTGAATTTTTTGGAATTTCAAAATATTCAAAATATCCAAAAAATTTAGCCAATACAAAAATATTTTGAATATTTTGAATTTTTTGAATTTCAAAATATTCAAAATATTCAAAAAATTTAGCCAATACAAAAATATTTTGAATATTTTGAATTTTTTGAAATTCAAAATATTCAAAATATTCAAAAAATTTAGCCAATACAAAAATATTTTGAATATTTTGAATTTTTTGAATTTCAAAATATTCAAAATATTCAGAAATATTTGAAGCCAATTCAGCCAAAAATATTTTGAATATTTTGAATTTTTTGAATTTCAAAATATTCAAAATATTCAAAAATTTAGCCAATACAAAAATATTTTGAATATTTTGAATTTTTTGATATTTCAAAATATTCAAAATATTCAAAATATAATGAACTTCTCCCAAAAGTCTCTCTGAACCTCTTTTTTGGTGATTTCATTATTTTTTAAATATTTTGAATTTTTTGAATTTTTGAATTCAAAAAATTCAAAATATTCAAAAAATTAGTGCCAATACAAAATATTTTGAATATTTTGAACTTTTGAATTCAAAATATTCAAAATATTCAAAAAAATTAGCCAATACAAAAATATTTTGAATATTGAATTTTTTGAATTTCAAAATATTCAAAATATTCAAAAAATTTAGCCAATACAAAAATATTTTGAATATTTTGAATTTTTTGAATTTCAAAATATTCAAAATATTCAAAAAATTTAGCCAATACAAAAATATTTTGAATTTTTTGAATTTCAAAATATTCAAAATATTAAAAAAATTTAGCCAATACAAAAATATTTTGAATATTTTGAATTTTTTGAATTTAAAATATTCAAAATATTCAAAATATTCAAAATATTCAAAATATTCAAAATATTCAAAATATAATGAACTTCTCCCAAAAGTCTCTCTGAACCTCTTTTTTGGTGATTTCATTATGTTTTAAATATTTTGAATATTTTGAATATTTTGAATTTTTTGAATTTCAAAATATTCAAAATATTCAAAAAATTTAGCCAATACAAAAATATTTTGAATATTTTGAATTTTTTGAATCTCAAAAATTTCAAAATATTCAAAAAAATTAGCCAATACAAAAATATTTTGAATTTTTTGAATTTCAAAATATTCAAAATATTCAAAATATTCGAAATATAATGAACTTCTCCCAAAAGTCTCTCTGAACCTCTTTTTGGCGTCTGGGAGATTGCTTTCAATTTGAAATGGAATCAAATAGTCAACGGTCAAATAGTACATGAAGGTCCATCGTACATATATATATACTATATATATATATACACTATGATATGCACCATATATTATATCTTTATAACTTCACTATCTTTGTTCTTTACGGCATTTTTACAATGAGACAAGCATAATCACAATGACAAAAATAGACCATCCCCAAACAATAAATTGGTCCTTAAAACCATCCCCAAATGGCAGTTTTTGCCCGGATTGCCCCACTCAAACATGGCTAGCTGGACAATTCCCAATGATTTTTCCAGCTATAAACATCCGTTGAGTTCGGGGATTTCCCAGATTCCAAAAGGGCAGATCCAGATCCCATTTGAATCCCATCAAAATTTCCTATTGATGCTTCCCATTCAATCCGCATTGACACCAGAGGGTACCCAACCCCCACCTTCCGGTATCTCCAAGGCTGGCTGCTCCTCACTCGGAGCCGCGGCGCTCGGAGCTGTGGCCGTCGCAGCGCGCTTCAAGCGCTGCACTTCGTCGATGCGTTGCTGCACGCTGCGGCGCTTCTCCTGAGATAGGCCATCCACATGTGGGAAATCTATAGGGATAATTTGGTTGTAGGGTGTTATATGATAATGATAATCTATAATCATGGGATATAAGTAAGTATGGCAATTATAATTATGTGATAAATAGACTAGAGGTCACAGTTTAAAGTTTACAGGAATGGCTATACGATGTAACAAATATATTCATAATGGTAATGATAGTCACCTTTCCCAAGAGTGCAGGAGTAGCTTCTGAAATTCTTGTATTCCCCTAGAAACGATATCGGTTTCCCATAATTACAAATTGTTGAATCGGGGATGAAAAATATATGTGCGGATCCCACGCCACAAAGCTTCAAAGATGGGTATCTAACCAAGATAATGAGGTCTAGAATGCCCCATTTTGTTGTGGAGATGTAATATGAAATTATATAAATACCCTCTGGTAAACTAACATAACTATGGAAAGATCCACCATTTTCAATGGGTAAATCCACTATTTCTAACGCCATGTTCAATAGCTATGTTAGATTACCAGAGGGTAGATCACACCAAAACCATCCAAAACCTACAGTTCCTGATCCTTCTGTTAAGTTCAACCAGTTCAACCTGGATCAACTGGCTGTCCGACTACTAATCGATCGACCGTCCTCCTCATCAGAGGGTCTGAGCCATCCGAGGCCATATCTGCAGGGAAATTCAACACAATTTTTCCAACAAACATGGCTTGAGAGTCGAGTCTGACAATGGAGTGTATACCCTCCAAAAAAAACACCATTGGTGGATCACCATTGGTGGATCACCATTGGTAGATCACCATTGGTGGATCACCATGTTTCCCATGAAATGGAAAATCTTCACCGGATTTCCCATCTTTTGTTTCAACAAAAGCCATCGGGTCCCGAAAAAATGTTCCGAAAAAAGCCATGATCGATGCTTTCCCATGGCAATTTCTTCATGGCTGTGCCCTTCAATCCCTTCACCTCGCCTAACCCAGTTGTTGAAGTTAAAGCCGTTCTCGTCTAGGAAGACCATCGTGGCGGCCTCATGGTCGATCATCTAGAGGCATATGGACAATGTCACCACCAAAAATGACCCCCAATTCATGAATAGCTCCAATTAACTCAGGATTTCGTGCTTATGGGTGCTTAATATATGTTTTTGGGAAGGGGTTTAATGCCAATGGATTGATGAGAGCATCTTTTACAGGCAACCATGGCTTTTACCCGAATTCTGTTAGGGTGGTACCTGTAATCTTTCCATTTTTTTTCCTGCAATCAATCAATTCTGGGAGAACTATTGCTGGATATATCCAAGTAATGTTTGGGGTTGTGGGCATGAGGTGCGGGCTATGTGGAACATCTGCAGTATATAGCATAAAACATGTACAATTTACATTCATGGATTCACTATTCATCACTCTTGTAAACGTTAGTCAAACGTGTGCGATATGACTGTTTTGGATATCTCTCGGCAATTTAAAGTCACTCATGTTTTGATGATTTCCTCCATGCTTACCGCTACCAGTATGTGTGATGATGTCTGCAATGAGCTCACCATAGATCATTCATGTCCAAGATAGATCCAAATCTTTATCTGGTTGGTGGTATACCTACCCCTCTGAAAAATATGAAAGCCAGTTGGGAGTATTATTCCCAATATATGGAAAAATAACATTCATGTTCCAAACCACCAACCTCTTTATGTAAACGTATTCAACATCCCAAAACTGCTTCTTGTTGGCTGAAAAACCCATCCACTATTCACCGCAGCCATTCTAAAAATCATGTTAGCCATCATGCTTAGCATCTATAGCCATCCCCACTAAAGATAGACAAGTGAAATCCTTCTAATATAGTGATTAAAATTGACGGTTCCATCTTCTTTGGGCTTACCTCTTTTAATTATCGATGTCTATAGTAATGGTGGGCTTACCATATATCGATAATTACCAAGTATATATCTTTTAATGGATGGTAATGGGCTTAGTAGTGGATGGTAAGCTTTTAAGAATTGCCTATCTTCTTTGGGCTTACCATGTATCGATGATCAAAGATTTTGGATCATCATCCCATCCGTGGAACATTTTGAGACCAAGGAGCTGAAACCGAGAAGTGATGCTCTGCCTGGGGCGTTGGATAGTTGTCATGTTTCATGGCACCAATGCTTGTGGGGTTCTCAAGTTGGAAAACCACCATATCTCCATATATCTCCATCATGAGGACATTGATGTAAGGTACTTCTCTTGAATCATCAGATTTTGCCTCAACATGCCTCAACGAGATCGGCTGCAGTCACAGTCATCTCCTACATCTCCCGCCCTCCGCACCGCTTTTTGCGGGAAGACGTACAAGGACACGGGCGACAAGATCCAGTGGGCCGAAGTCCTGGGACAACAACCAGCATATTTCTATGGCGTTTTCTGGTTGGTTGACCGACCCCGAAAAATGATGGACGAATCGTCAGTTGGGATGATGACATTCCCAACTGAAATGGAAAAATAATCCAAATGTTCCGAAGCACCAATCAGATTTTCATGAGAAACAAAATGTCAAAAAAAGAACATCTAACGGCACAGCTCGGAGCTTCCCTGTCGAATTTCCACTGGGTAACCCTGGCCCTGTGCTCTTCGCAGGATCACGGCGTGCAGCACAGAGCCCCACCTGTGCTGCACGCCGTCTCAGCGGGGTCTATCCCCGAGCTGGGACTACCCTCTGGTAATTTGGTACATAGCTATTGAAAATGGCCCATTTATAGTTGATTTACCTATTAAAAATGGTGATTTTCCATAGTTATGTTAGTTTACCAGAGGGTACATAGGGAAAATCATGGTTTACCAGTTCAACCACTGGATGGAATGGGGATGAATGGGGAATTTACAGTGGCATACCGAATCCCCATGGACCTTTTTGCGCGGCTAAATGGGGTCCCGCCTGCACAGGCAGAAAGGTTCGTGCGCCTTCACGGTGAGCAGAATAGCATCGCTCCACACCAATGAAGCGTTCGTTCTTCACCTGGAGCCAGTGCGCCCGTTGGACGGTCTGGGTCAAGAATTGGGGACCAGCGGGCCCACATGGTCCATGGTCTACTGATGTCTACTGTTTGTGTCAGCGGTCGTTCTGACCTTCCAGTAGTCTTGCTCCGGGCAGTACCCAAATCTCTGTTTCGGGCGCACGATCCCTTGCAGGGTTTCTGCTTTGAAATTCACAAGGGACGGCAGCCTTCCACGGACACAAATCGTCAGAGAGATCTCTGATCATTTTCAGATCCAGCCCGCCCACTCACCTAACCAACTAACCACAACCCCCAATTACGAGTTGGTTTATAAATGGCATTGAACTAGTTCGATCTATCTACCATTGACATCCATAAATCATAGAAAATCACCCAGCAATTTCTAAAATAAATAAAGCACCGTAGAGCTAGGGATTGCTAGGGGGGCCACCTTTTTTTCCACGCAAAAAAACCATCATCTCCCAGTCACATGAAGCCCTGTGAGCTCCAAGTCAAAGGCCACGAATTCGGCGCGCCGCACCTCTTCTAAGACCTGTTTTGGCAGGACGAGACTCTGAACATCTCTGAACCATTGAGCAGCTGATGAACTTGATTCTGGATGGATGTCCACTTACGACATTTTGATACATGTTGGATACGTCTTCCACCAACTTCATATCCCTTTTCAATGTTTCAGATAAAGGAGGAGTCTCTCCGGTGCCGGAAAGATTCAGAAAGCTCTGACAGACATGAAGCTCCATTGATTCAACTCATCCATTTCCATCCCCCATGGCCTGCTTGTTCACTTGCTTCCAATTTTGCTGGCTTAAGGTGAGTCGCGCCACTGCGCGTCTCATGCCTGGCCGTTTTTTTTGGGGACCATGACGACTGCAAAATGGGCTCAAGAAGAAATCAAGGAATTCGTTACGACCTTGCTGTCTGCTTAAGGTTCTAAGTCCTTCAGGTCTTCCAGCAAGGGCTCCATGAATTCCGACCATGGATGATGCTTGTTGATTCAAGGAGCTTGGCTGTCCGACGTGGCCCAGCCCTATCATCTCGAGCCTGGTGTCGCCCATCGAACGGGCCACCGCAAGGGTGCGGAAAAGGGATAGGCAGAACTCCAGGTACTGAAGCTGCGACTGAACTATGTTGAAGTATGGAAATGAACTTCCAGCCATGCCAGCCACTTGGCTTAAGAGATGGGTCACTTGTCAGATTCATATGGCGCGTGATTTTCAGACCTTCATCTAGCATTAGTGTCAAGTGCAGTGGAGATGTCTTTTTTCCATGTTTGGCACCCATTTGCGATCATGCTTCTTGAGGGTGCAGCGGCTCACATGGGAAGTTCATGGTTCTTCGCTATGAGCCAAATCATAACATGCGTCAATCACACATCGTTTCCACCAGCAGTCCTTCAAGTATCATGTCTGGTAACCCTTAAGGTCCTAACAGAAACTGACTGGTTGACGGGGATTTCAGTCATACATAGGCATCAATCCCCTTTTCAATGGTAGTATATATATATATATATATTGTCATGGTTGGGCTGAACCGCCCCTCAATTCCTACAGTCGTCTTCTGTGAGCAGCCACTTTGGGGCCTTTTCATCGCCAAGGATCGGGAGTGAGATATAGGGAATACCATGGGACACCCATAGCCATTCTACTGGGGATTCTATGATGAAATGAGACGCCATTGGAATCCAAACCATAGTCAACACTAACCAACTCCAACTTATCTCGTTGTCCTCCACATCCACAATAAACTGGCATCATCGTTGGGATATCAAAAGCCTACCAGGCTGATTCCATTTCCACGTCAGGCTGGTTGGAAAATGCGCACCATTTTTGACGTTTGGATCTATAGAATCTCTGGGATTAGTCCCACAAGGACCAAGATAACACGAAGTTCATCGACCTGAAATGGTCGTTTTGAGGCATATGGGTGTTCCTCGACATTGGGGTACCCCAAATCCCAATGTTGATTGATAACATGGCCCTTTAGTGAACGGAGAATCCATCATTTGGGGTCCCCCATTTCTGAGAAACTTACTTCCCCAGAATGTCTGGCAGATCTTACATACCCTGCACAAAATATGTAAAGATTCCTGGGTACTTGAAGGTTGCAACAGCACTAACACTGACAAACTGATTCTGGATATTTCTGGATATTTCTGATCAGCACAACAATTCACCAGAATATGTCTGGATTGTTCTGGATTTTTCTGATCAGCACAACATGTTTCATTATCAGCGCATTACTATTCCCGATTCACCAAGCTGACGGCCTCCAGTTACCCTCCCACGTTGCCTCTGGCCTCGGGCCTAAATGCCTGGAGAAACCCAGAAAATCATTCGGGGTTGATGAAAAATTAGGGATCCCTTGGACGATGGGTCTTGCCAACGAAATTTGAGGATGTACTGTACATGTCATTGATATATTGATATATATATATACATAATTATATATATATATTGATATAATATATATTGATAATAATATATATATAAGCTATGATACAAGCGATATTGACCGTATAATACGGCAGCCTTCAGGAATCATCCGGCTTTGTTTTAAACACATTAAGGATACTATGATATGGTTCTGGAGCAAAACGCTGTTACCCTGGGTGTCACATCCTAGTAGTTGTTGTTGATAGATAAATGTGCGTTCCCTCAAGATATCATATCATAGATTTTGACCCATCCCCACACTACCCTCTGGTAAACTAACATAGCTATTGAAAATGGCAATTTATAGTGAGTTTTCCCATTAAAAATTGTGATTTTCCATAGTTATGTTAGTTTACCAGAGGGTAACTGGTATAAGCCCTTGTCAAAATGGTGATAGACTGGATTGTTGGACCCAGAACTCAAAAACTTGTAATTCAGCTAATAAAGTGAGGTTTTGAGGTGTGGGAAGCATCCCTATAAACATATGTTTTTTCTATGTCAAAATATCACTCCCCGGTGGATTACATCGCCAACGGATCTTTGGCGTCATCCAAACCCTTTATTTATCGGTTGATTTTCAAGATTGTTGGTTTGGTCACTTTCTCATCATTTGCAGATCCAACCTCTGGTTATAATAGCTATGGAAAATCACCGTTTTTAACAAGTAGATCATCATGAATCATCTATAAACGGGCCATTCTCCAATATTTTCCATATATGTTTTTCACCAGATGCCCCAGAAAACGTTGATCACCGCCTTTTTGCCCCTAAGCGCCACTGTTGGCTCGTTCGGACAGAATTTCGCGCACACGACTAACGAGGTGGGCCACCATGGTGATACGATCACGTTTCATCTGCTCCAAATTCACCTAAGGATGTCAAGTGTCCCCTGGGTCAACAAGAAATTCCCGGTCAACGAACCGTTTGCGAACTGGAAAATCACGATTTTTCATAGGTAAATCAATTATAAACTGGGCTGTTTTCTATAGCTATGTCAGTTTACCAAAGGGTATTCAGGAGACTCTTGGAATTAAAATTATAAAAACTCTGAAAAGGTGTGCTTATCCAAAAAAATACAGTACGAAATTGTGAACAAAACTGAAAAAAATGAAGATGTTACCCAATTTTTGGGGATATACATTTTCCACATGAAGTATTGAGATTGTGTCACGAAAAGACCGGATTCAACGCAAAATGAGTAACAAATTGACCAACCATTGTGAGGGATGTAGATAATTACTGGCACTCGAAGGTCCGAATAGATGCCACCAAAATATGATGACATCTGATAACATCTGATAACATGTCCAAAACAATCCTGATATATCCTGATATATCCTGATATATTTGGGCAAAATGATTGTTCCATCTTCAAAAACAACCCCAGATTTGTTCCATCTTCAAATTTGCCAAGCCCCGGTACTTTCGGCCGTCGGATATCCAAGGTGCTGAGGCCTCACTGAGAGCTGCGGCCAAGGTCGTTCCCTCTCCATGGTCCAACATCTTCAGTTCCGCATCAATCTGCTTGGAGATCTTCCCCAGCATGGCCTGTAGGAACCATGGACTTTTTCATGAGATCATTTTAGCATATTTTAGCCATCTTAGATGATTGATGACATTTTAGTCATAGATGATTGATGACAATAGCATATTTTAGCCATCTTAGATGATTGATGACAAATTTTTGAGCCTTGATTTAAGATGATTTAAGTTGATGCCATGCCACCTTTCGAATCCTTTCGATACAATTCCCCAGCACGGCAAAAAAAATCCCATCGAACGATGAGTCCATCAATTGCGTGTCCATCAACCAGAGAATCTGTCCATCTGCCACTCGCCGAACCTCCAAATCCAAGTGTTTTCCCGTCGCAGTTCCATGTAAAGCTTGCCGCATGAAGTCTGCCTAGCGCAACCGACGATCTCCGACGATTGGGCCTTGAACCTCAAATTCGCAAAAACGTCATGTGAATCCAAGATTTTTTGGGGGGTTGGGGGGTCTGAAAAAGGGGTGGCACATGGTGGCACCCTGTTTGAATCCAAATTCGACCGGAAAATGGACCCGGGGTTCACCACCAACACCTGCTGCGACTTGGACAAGGCGATGAGTCGGCAAATGTTCAAGGCAGAAGTCAGAGTGTCCATGGCATCAATGATCCTCGGCCGTGATCTATGGGAAACCATGGTAGTAAACACTGATCTGAGGGAAAATCGATGGGTTTCCCAGTGATTATAGCGGTTGAATACGGTTTAATGTTCTCATCACCTATTCTGAGATTTGGTTCACAGAATTCATTGGCTATGGGCATCTATGGGCATCTCGGTTCGTGAAAAGCAGTGAATGAGACCGGTGTGGATGAGACCGGTGTGATCAACTATATGCACGTATCTTCAGGGTAATTAATACATGGATATACATGATATACATGGGATACAGTAAATCTGAATGCTATGAACATGTCATTGGAAGATTTTTGGCTGAGACTCACTGTGATTCACTGGGAATGCAGTGAAGGCAGCCACAAGCCGCATTGATAACACAAAAAAAATCTGTGCTACTTCCACTTCATCTTGGAATGAAGCGCAACCTTCCTGCTTTGATGAGCAGCACAAAATCAAGATGGTCCCACCTTTCTAGCCAGACCAATCCCCGGATGATTGATGCGGATGTCGGATGTTTGATGGTTAAAATATGTTTGAAAATCCCCACTGGCTGATGCTAAAATTCCCCACTGTTTGGATCGGATTTAGAGATCCTCAGTTTTGATGCTGCGAAGAAACCCCACCGTTTCGGCTGGCTGAAAAAACCAACGTTTCGGCTGGCGCTTCCCCTACTGCCTTACCCCATGGATTGGTTTAAGGGAACTTCGCAAGAGGCTAACATCACCCCTGGTACAGCTTATAACTGGACATTGCCCCTGCTTCTCCTGAACTACAGTAAATGGGATGAACTAACCCAGTGTTACTATCATGAATCATATCCCCATATATCATCATATTTTATATATACATATGTATACATATATATATATAGAGATAGATATAGATAGATAGATATATATATCCCCATTAAAATTACTTTACTTCGCGTGATCCCCACCATGACATTTACACATTTTGTTACTCGCAAATCTTCTGGCATTCTATCTGACATATCCTCTGGCATTCTATTTGGCATATCTTCTGGCATATGTTCTGGCATATCTTCTGGCATTCTATCTGGCAAATCTTCTGGCATTCTATCTGGCATATCTTCTGGCATTCTATCTTGCAAATCTTCTGGCATTCTATCTGGCATATCTTCTGGCATTCTATCTGGCAAATCTTCTGGCATTCTATCTGGCATTCTATGTGGCAAATCTTCTGGCATATATTCTGACATATCTTCTGGCATTCTATCTGGCATTCTATCTGGCATATCTTCTGGCATATGTTCTGGCATATCTTCTGGCATATCTTCTGGCATTCTTTCTGGCATAAATTCTGGCATTCTATCTGACTGACATATCTTCTGGCATTCTATCTGGCATATCTTCTGGCATATGTTCTGGTGTATCTTCTGGCATATGTTCTGCCATATCGTCTGGCATTCTATCTAGCAAATCTTCTGGCATATGTTCTGGCAAACATTCTGGCACTTTATCTGGCATATATTCTGGCATTCTATCTGACATATCTTCTGACATTCTATTTGGCATTCTATCTGGCATATCTTCTGGCATATGATCTGGCATATCTTCTGGCATATCTTCTGGCATTCTATCTGGCAAATCTTCTGCCATTCTATCTGGCATATCTTCTGGCACTCTATCTGACATATCTTCTGGCATTCAATCTGGCATTCTATCTGGCATATATTCTGACATATCTTCTGGCATTCTATCTGATATATTTTCTGGCATATATTCTGACATATCTATCTGGCATATCTTCTGGCATATTATCTGGCATTCTATCTGGCATATATTCTGACATATCTTCTGGCATTCTATCTGGCATATTATCTGGCATTCTATCTGGCATATCTTCTGGCATATATTCTGACATCTCTTCTGGCATTCTATCTGGCATTCTATCTGGCATTCTATTTGGCATTCTATCTGGCATATCTTCTGGCATTCTATCTTGCAAATCTTCTGGCATTCTATCTGGCATATCTTCTGGCATTCTATCTGACATTTCTTCTGCACATTCTTTGTCCCATATCTTCCTACATGAGGTCCGGCAGGGAACACTTGGCGTGGATACTCGCGGTTGAGGTCCGGCAGGGAACACTGGGCGTGGATGGTCGTGGTTGAGGTCCGGCAGGGAACACTGGGCGTGGATGGTCGTGGTTGAGGTCCGGCAGGGAACACTGGGCGTGGCTGGTCGTGGTTGAGGTCCGGCAGGGAACATGGTCGTGGTTGAGGTCCGGCAGGGAACACTGGGCGTGGATGGTCGTGGTTGAGGTCCGGCAGGGAACACTGGGCGTGGATGGTCGTGGTTGAGGTCCGGCAGGGAACACTGTGGATCGCGGGTCGCAGTTGAGCAAGGACGACAAGGATGACAAGGAGGACGAGGAGGAGGAGGACGAGGCAGGAGGAGGCGGAGGAGGAGGAGGAGGAGGAGCAGGAGGAGCAGGAGGAGGAGGAGGAGGACGAGGAGGCAACTGACATAAAATCTAACAACCCTCACCTGGCAGGTGGGGAAAAAAAAAAATCTACCAGTCTACCAGCAGTTTCTGATGGTGAATTCCCTCATTGATCCGGTGCCAAGGCACTGCACCTCGCCTGCAAGGGTGGCCTCCAACACCTGGAGAGGAATCCCCGAATCGGAGTGCGGAACGACTCGGAGAGTCGTTGAAGTGGATGAGCCGAAGTGACATTTTGAGGGTTTTTTGAGTTTCCAAATTTTGGGCAAATGAAAAACTATGAAAAACTCGAAAAATTGTTGAACCCAGTTGAACCCAAAGAAATGTTTTGAAGTCCTACCGGTTCTTGAGAAATCGGCAGGGAGGCGGTTTTCATCACATCAACACTTAGTGACACTTGGACACGTGTTTACACGGGTGAAAAAAAACGACAAACATGAATAAATGGGAGAATCTGGTTGGTGGGACTTAGTGACTTCGGAATAACCAGGCTTACTAAGCAGTTACTAAGTGAGATGTTCCTCCAAGTGTCTTTGTTGACGCTCAGAATTCGAACGCCTTCACAGCAACAATATTGCTGGCACGCCGGATGTTTTCCCATACGCTCCCGCGACATGTCAGGTATGGACATTCATGCCCATGGTCCTTCACTTCAAAATGATCCTAACTTTATGATCCTTTCCTACGGAAGAGGAACCACATGAAAAAGCACTGAAAGACGTAAGCCGCAACGGCCAAATATGCAGAGGACGTCGTGCTGAAAAACAGCATGTCACGAAGAGCAAGCTGTAAATGATCATTGGACCACATGACCAATGCACTCACACATGTTCCTTGGGGCCACCATTTGCATCGGCGGTCAAAAGCGTGATCTGCAAACAAGGGAATTACTCTCCACTATATGATGTAACCTGGTAATGAAAAATCACTGCATCTGATAACAAGATGTGGGTACCCTTTGGTGTCCTGTGGGCAAATCCCCAAACTCAAATGGAGGTTTTTAAAAAATAATCGTACGGTGTATATGTATATATAATTACATATATGTATATATATATGTGGATATATGTGGATATACACTATTACATGGTGGATTTTCCAGCCCATGTTTGATTACAGGAGGATCAACATGGATCAAAGCTGAGCGTCCTAAAACGAGTCTCACCAGCCACCACATGCCGCAACTGGTCCATTGAAATGCTGCAGCAACCAATTTATTGGCTTGCCTCGGAAAGAATCGGTGAAACATACGGTGGATGGAAGAAATCCTGCACCAGTTGATAGGTGGTTTATCTTATTATTTAAAGGGTTTCAACCATCCAAGGTGATGCAGGATTCCTTCCATCCACAGTAGTGAAACTGATGGATCCCATTTCTGACATGTGAAAAAAAACATTGCACACCAAACCCTAGCCCATGTATGCACCCACTTTGTTTACCACTGGGGGGTATTCAAAACCATGCCCGGGAAAATGGGTTGTTATTGTATTATTGTGGTTACCACATTATTGTTTCCTCAAGATTGTTCAATAGCCCATCTTCCAGTAACATGAACTACTGAGAAATGGAAGAGCATGTTTCATCCAGGTCGCAGTAGCATTGGATAAAGTATGAGAAGCCCAAAGGGCAGCAACAGCAACTGGAGCACGGCATTTGTGATCATGTACCTGATTGGCGTTGTCAGCCCCTCTAACTTAGTCAATTGGGATCATCATTGTAGGTGGGGTTAAAAAAGAAAAAAAAATCAAACCACCAACCAGTGTACTGGTAGACAGACGTATATCCTCCGGCTGCTGCTGATTTCTCACAGGTAGCACCATCGCAGCTCAGAACGCAGATCAAGGATTGAAACCAAATGGGCAACGTTGCAACGATGCACATCTTCGGGGAGATGTATTCCTCCGTTCCCAGAAATGTAACCAGATTCTGGCGCAGAGGGCCTCTGACATAATCATTGAACCTGGGTTTTGTACCCGATGTTGCATTCCATGAAGAGTCCCGAAAACAGTCCAAAATGCCCGATACATCCCTTGAAAACAAACATGGAAAGCACAAACTATTTGGAAACTGTATTTCATAATACAAAACCACACACATCAATCCATAATCCGCCGACCCCGGCCTTTGCCAAGGCAGGGGCGGCGCCTGGGACCACCGAAGGTGTGGAACTTGGCTCTCGGGTCGCAAGCAAAGGCACACGCCATCAAGGCAACACCTCTGCCAGCTACATGCCCCAGCCATCTACATGCTCCTGCCGAACTCTTACACCTACATGCCCCTGCCATCTGTTTTTCAGGGGGTTCAAGACTGCCGTTCAATGCCCGGCCTCAAACCCCCCAAACGCTTCCGCAGGCCTCCAAGGCAACAACTCTTACAGCTACATGCCCCTGCCATCTGTTTTTCAGGGAGTTCAAGACTGCCGTTTGACCGGCCTGAAACCCTCCAAACGCTTCCGCAGGCCTCCAAGGCAACAACTCTTACAGCTACATGCCCCTGCCATCTGTTTTTCAGGGACCGGCCTGAAACCCTCCAAACGCTTCCGCAGGCCTCCAAGGCAACAACTCTTACAGCTACATGCCCCTGCCATCTGTTTTTCAGGGAGTTCAAGCCTGCCGTTTACCAGCCCGCAAAACCCCCCAAATGCTTCCCTGCAGCTCCCATGCCGTTTGCCAGCTCCGGCATTGTCCTTTTATGGTGGTTCAAGCCTAAACCCCCCAAATGCTTCCCTGCAGCTCCCATGCCGTTTGCCAGCCCCGGCATTGTCCTTTTATGGTGGTTCAAGCCTGCCGTTTGCCAGCCCGCAAAACCCCCCAAATGCTTCCCTGCAGCTCCCATGCCGTTTGCCAGCCCCGGCATTGTCCTTTTATGGTGGTTCAAGCCTGCCGTTTGCCCGCCCGCAAAACCCCCCAAATGCTTCCCTGCAGCTCCCATGCCGTTTGCCAGCCCCGGCATTGTCCTTTTATGGTGGTTCAAGCCTGCCGTTTGCCAGCCCGCAAAACCCCCCAAATGCTTCCCTGCAGCTCCCATGCCGTTTGCCAGCCCCGGCATTGTCCTTTTATGGTGGTTCAAGCCTGCCGTTTGCCCGCCCGCAAAACCCCCCAAATGCTTCCCTGCAGCTCCCATGCCGTTTGCCAGCCCCGGCATTGTCCTTTTATGGTGGTTCAAGCCTGCCGTTTGCCCGCCCGCAAAACCCCCAAATGCTTCCCTGCAGCTCCCATGCCGTTTGCCAGCCCCGGCATTGTCCTTTTATGGTGGTTCAAGCCTGCCGTTTGCCCGCCCGCAAAACCCCCCAAATGCTTCCCTGCAGCTCCCATGCCGTTTGCCAGCCCCGGCATTGTCCTTTTATGGTGGTTCAAGCCTGCCGTCTGCCAGCCCGCAAAACCCCCCAAATGCTTCCCTGCAGCTCCCATGCCGTTTGCCAGCCCCGGCATTGTCCTTTTATGGTGGTTCAAGCCTGCCGTTTGCCAGCCCGCAAAACCCCCCAAATGCTTCCCTGCAGCTCCCATGCCGTTTGCCAGCCCCGGCATTGTCCTTTTATGGTGGTTCAAGCCTGCCGTTTGCCCGCCCGCAAAACCCCCCAAATGCTTCCCTGCAGCTCCCATGCCGTTTGCCAGCCCCGGCATTGTCCTTTTATGGTGGTTCAAGCCTGCCGTCTGCCAGCCCGCAAAACCCCCCAAATGCTTCCCTGCAGCTCCCATGCCGTTTGCCAGCCCCGGCATTGTCCTTTTATGGTGGTTCAAGCCTGCCGTTTGCCAGCCCGCAAAACCCCCCAAATGCTTCCCTGCAGCTCCCATGCCGTTTGCCAGCCCCGGCATTGTCCTTTTATGGTGGTTCAAGCCTGCCGTTTGCCCGCCCGCAAAACCCCCCAAATGCTTCCCTGCAGCTCCCATGCCGTTTGCCAGCCCCGGCATTGTCCTTTTATGGTGGTTCAAGCCTGCCGTTTGCCAGCCCGCAAAACCCTCAAATGCTTCCCTGCAGCTCCCATGCCGTTTGCCAGCCCCGGCATTGTCCTTTTAGGTGGTCAATCCGGAGATCAGTACCCTTGATTATCCCTGAGTTTCAAAATCAATGATACTCTACCACCAATCATACAATGATAGGAGGCCAAATATGCTTAAAAATATGAACTGAGGTCTGACTTCAAATTTGTAGCGTCATACTCATTGCATACACATTGCACATTGTGTGGCAAATTGAATTGCGGCATGTTGGGGCATATCAAAACATATATGTCCATGTCTGTCCCACCATGTACCACCATCGACCTCAGCACGGCCCGCCGGAAGCGACGCGCCACTGACCCACTGAACCGCTGATGCCGTCGGATGCCGTCGGAGTATCTATCTCTCCCTCTCTATCTATCTATCTCTCCCTCTCTATCTTTCTCTCCCCCTCTATCTATCTCTCACTCTCTATCTATCTATCCATCTATCTATCTATCCATCCAGCTATCTATCCATCTATCTCTCCATCTACTTATCTGTCTATCCAACTGTCTATCTATCTATCTGTCTATCTCTCTCTCTCTCTATCTCTCTACCTATCTATCCATCCATCCATCCATCCATCCATCCATCCATCTATCTATCTCTCTCCCTCTCTCTGCAGGACCCCCCAAATAGGGGGGGTCGGCGGCACCCGGGCGCTAGCCCATTCTATAAATAGTTCTACATATATATATTTACGTACAGCGGACGGGAAACTCCGGATCCTCCTCTGGCACTGTATAGTACAGTGGACGGGAAGCTCCGGATCCTCCTCTGGCACTGTATAATACAGTGGACGGGAAACTCCGGATCCTCCCCTGGCACTGTATAATACAGTGGACGGGAAGCTCCGGATCCTCCTCTGGCACTGTATAATACAGTGGACGGGAAGCTCCGGATCCTCCTCTGGCACTGTATAATACAGTGGACGGGAAGCTCCGGATCCTCCTTTGGCACTGTATAGTGAACGGGAAGCTCCGGATCCTCTTCTGGCACTGTATAATACAGTGGACGGGAAGCTCCGGATCCTCCTCTGGCAGTGTATAATACAATGGACGGGAAACTCCGGATCCTCCTCTGGCACTGTATAATACAGTGGACGGGAAGCTCCTCTGGCACTGTATAATACAGTGGACGGGAAGCTCCGGATCCTCCTCTGGCACTGTATAAGACAGTGGACGGGAAGCTCCGGATCCTCCTCTGGCACTGTATACTACAATGGACGGGAAGCTCCGGATCCTCCTCTCGCACTGTATAATACACTAAACGGGAAGCCTCCTCTGGCACTGTATAATACAGTGGACGGGAAACTCCGGATCCTCCCCTGGCACTGTATAATACACTGGACAGGAAGCTCCAGATCCTCCTCTGGCACTGTATAGTACAGTGGACGGGAAGCTCCGGATCCTCCTCTGGCTGTATAATAGAGTGGAAGTGAAAATAGTCGGATAGTCTTGTTGGGAAATAGTCGTGGTTTCTTTTTTTCTTGTCGTAGGTTTGAAATTGGTCGTGGATACGCCGCCCTCTTCATACATACATACATACATACATACATACATACATACATACATACATACATACATACATACATACATACATACATACATACATACAATAACAAAACATATCATAATATAACACAACATAACATAACATACATAACATTACATACATACTTAACATTACATTACAGCACATTACATTACATTAGGTTACACTACATTACGTTACATACATACAGACATACATGCATGCATGCATACATACATACCATGACATGACATGACATGACATGACATGACATGACATGACATGACATGACATGACATGACATATTTTGACATTACATTACATTACATTGGAGTACCATACATACATACATACATACATACATACACACATACATACATACATACACACATACACACATACTCACATACACACATACACACATACACACATACACACATACACACATACACACATACACACATACACACATACACACATACCCACATACGTACATACTTACATACGTACATACGTACATACGTACATACGTACATACGTACATACGTACATACGTACATACGTACATACATACATACATACATAATTACATTACATTACATCACATTATAATACATTACACTACATTACATACACTACATTACACTAGGTTTCAATACATTACATACATACATACATACATACATACATACATGCATACATACGGACATACATACATACACCCTTACATTTCTTTACCTTACCTTACATTACATTACATACATTACATTAGATTACATTTCATTACATTACATTACATTCCATACATGCATGATTACATACATTAAATTTGTCCCTTAGCAAACTCGTCCCTGCACTGCTGCTTTTCCCTTTGCCCAAAAGGGATTTTATCCAACAAAATCTCTGCAAGCTCCAACTCAATAGATTTGATCTGGTTCCAAGTAGGCTGCCCCCAGAGTAATTTCATACTTCGGTTCAACAGTTCAACACCAGAAAAATTTGGATTGAGAAGATTGGGCCTCTCAAATTGTTTGTGGTTTTGGTCCCTGGGTTGTTGTGCAATTTTGGCTGGGAAGTTACAATTAAAATCCATTATTCCACTGTTAGTGGGGACTCCAATATATATATATGTGTGTGTGGATAGGTTCTCTGAGAGCAGATTGGGCAACACGCTGTGTTGTTTGAACAAAGTGTTTTATTGTTTCAGCACTTGAAAGGATTTTACCTTTTCACCTTGATGAATAAAGCGCGTCTCTTTTTACAAGCGAAAAAATGATCCGTTACAGAAGAACAATTACTATTCATCCTCATTAAAAAAATTATGACGGCAAGAGGTCCCAAACAGTGTTGCAAGGGACATGAAGAAGAAATTCCAAGTTAGATTCCGCAAGTTCCTCTCGTGAAGGTCTCTGTAGAAGATCGTGTGCAAGATCTCCTTGACAGGTTCTCAGTAGAAGCTGCTATGCAAGATCCCTTTTCTACGGCTATCAGTACAATGTCTCTATAGCAGGTCTCCACAGAAGATCTTTACAAGAGGTCTCTTGGCAAGATCTCGGCGCAAGCTCTCTAAAAAAGAATCTCCCGGCAAGATCTCTGTGAGAGACCTCTTGGCAAAATCTCTGTAAAAGATCTCTACAAGAGGTCTCTTGGCAAGATCTCCTTGTGCAAGCACCCTATAAGAGGTCTCTTGGCAAGATCTCTTGAAGAAATCTCTGTACAAGCTATCTAAAAGAGCTCTCTTGGCAAGATCAATGTAAGAGACTTCTTGGCAAGATCTCTGCAAAAGATCTCTATGCGATGTCTCTGTACAAGATCTCTATAAGAGGTCTCCTGCGAAGATCTCTGCACAAGATCTCTACAAGAGGTCTGTTGGCAAGATCTCTTTATGAGATCTCTGTAGAAGCTCTCTATAAGAGCTCTCTGGGCAGGATTGGCAGGATCTCTGAAAGAGACCTCTTGGCAAGATCTCTTTCGTGGCAAGATCTCTGCGCAAGCTCTCTATAAAAGACCTCCTTGTCATAAAAATATGCGACAGACCTCCTTGATTATCGAAAAAGCACCGCGCCACAGCGAGAGAGATCTGACAGGCCCAAAGTGCCAAGAAGCTCGCGCGAGCGATCTCAAAATGAGCGCCGCACCACAACGAGAGCGATCTGACAGGCCCAAACTGACGAGAAAGTTGTGGGAGCGACCTCAAAATTCAGACCATGCCACAACGAGAGCGATCTGACAGGCAAAAAGTGCCGAGAGGGTTGCACGAGCGATCTCAAATTCGCACAGCGCCACAAAGAGAGCGATATGACAGGCCCAAAATCACGAGAGGTTTGCGTGAGCACATGTTAGATTTTCACAAAACAAAACCGTTGCCCGTACCACGAAAAATAAACATTGCCCAATGTCAAAAACGACTCTTTACCTGGGTTTTGGGCACCTTTTGACACAGGTCTACAAAGTACGGCGCCTGTCACTCAAAATGACCTCCAAAACCACATCTCATCTTGACCAACGCCTGCCAACGTTTTAGCAACGTACAGAAAGATCAGAAAGTGCCACGCCTGCCACGGATGAAAAGTGCACGATGTCCTGCACTTGTCACGCAAAACGGCGTTTTGGACTTCAATATGTCTTGAAAGTTCCACGCCTGCCACACAGAATGGACATAGCTCAAAAAAAAAGAATGGGGCGCTGATAATTAAAACAATGATAAAACAAGCCTTTCGGAAGAGAGGTCTCTGCGACACCCCCGTTTGTGCGAGCCTAAGGGTCACCGAATTTGCCGGACACAGATCAGACCACCTCGAGTGAACACCCAGCCTTAACCTTTACTGTAAGAACCCCCAAGTGTGGCCACACTGTTTGGGAAATTCTGTCAGAGATTGTCACTAGTTTTTTGCCCTGAAGAATTAGGACAGACAGATGTTTGTTAAGTATTAATTACACTTTCATATATGAAGGATTTTGAAATACTGCGTTTCCTCGGATATGTTTGGTTCACTTTCTCTTTACTTGGTTATTCCCATGTCTTTTGCACGTCGCTTTTCTTGACCACTGTGGTGAAACAGCCTGTTTTCTCCGTCATGTTTCCCACAGCGCTTCTTTAAACATTTTTGCATAAAATCAAAATAGCGCTGAAAGTTACTTGAGAAAGTTTAAAGTTTAGAGTTTAGAGCGTAGCATCGAAAACTCACTGGAAGCTTCCTGGGACAGTTAAGAATGTATAGAATCAAAAAAGGTGTTGGAAGCTACTCCAGAAAGTTAAGAGTGCCGCATCAAGAATGTGTTGGAAGATACTTGAGACAGTTAAGTGTGTAGCATCAACAGCGCTTTGGAAGCTACTTGAGAAAGTTAAGAGCGTGTGTAAGGGAACGTTAATACCCCACCCCACCCCAAACCCCAACGCGGCAGCCAGAAAGCAAGAGATACCGAACGTTATTACACCCAACCCACCCATACGGGAACACCCTCCCCCTGGGATGTATATTCGGTGTATATTCACATATAATCATATGATTGTATATATATATATAATTATATAGCACCATGCATTGCGGAAATTATTTGGTATTCAGATACTGTATCAAACGACTTCTTCAAGCCATAGGTATCTATACCATGTATTGGTATAGATATAATTTAGAACAAATACATAAAGTAAATTAAGAACTAAATAATTACCATGATTATCATCTACCTTAAATAATACGTGATGATATTAACTGATATACCATGATAATACCATATCAACTGAATTCTTTGGCAGCCAATTTTGCGTCTCAGAAACTGATCAATGATCGCATCAGGGCTCGGATAACTTGTGACATGCCGTATGGCACGCAAGCTTTCCAAGGAAATCAAAGGTTCCTGGTCTTCCTGATAAAGGGCTTGAACATGGTTGTTAATGACTGTCCTAAAAGGGATGGGCCTCAAGTTTGTTGCCATGAACAAATAGGAAACATGAGGTTATAAACCAGAAGTCATGCGGATGGAATATGATGGAAGGGTATGGAATGGTATCCAAATTTTGAGACATCCGCACATGCGGTCAAACAGCGGCTTGATTTGATGGAAATGCTATCGGTTTAGGTAGTGCTCACGCCGTCAGAATGTATCTGCAAGTCAAGAAGGATCATCATACGATGTTTAGGGGCAAAACAATATTATTATGTTTGACCCCATGGATGCTCTTAACACCCTGCTGGACACCCCCAAGGATTCCAGAACATTACTAAAATGTCTTGAAATTTAGCTAAAATTCTAAAAGCCACAGAT